AAAGCAGAGGTCACACAGAAAGAAACCCTGGAAAGTCGGTGCTTAAAAATGTAACTCGCCAATTCTAAATGATGTGTTATTTTGCAAACATACCAGATTTTTGTTTAAGTTTTTTTTCTTATTAGAAACGTTATATGTACTATCTCTGTATAGATCCTTTTAAGAAGAAACTACTGGAGAAAAAAATATTGAGAAAAGACAGCAAGAGTCGAGTTTCCTTTCCAACTGAACACATCTGCACCCCGTGTCACCTGACACTTTTCTACAACATAAGATATTCTGTACACTATCATAGAGCTCAAGTGCAAAATAATCCATTCTCTGTAAACCAGGAGGTATAAGAAGTTTGAAGATTTGCAATTCAGCACATTTTGTAAGGTTTTTGGCACATAAGGGTTATTTTTAAAGAGGGAAAAAAAGCCTGTCCTCTCCCTACCCCCAAACACAGCTGAGCTGATTCAGCACAAATCTCCCCCTAAAATAAAATCCTAGTTTGCAGAGAATAAGCATGGAAAGTTCCAGCCCCAAGGACGACATTTCAGAAACCTAGCTGAAAAGATCAGGAGTGGGTGGCTTAAGAGAGACCGACCACAAATCATGTTCTAAACGTAAGAACTATCACCAGAAAACTGTGAGCAACTTGGGAGTCCAGGGAAGAAAGTCTTTAAAAATAAGCAATGTAATATACGAGTATAACCCAGAGATATGAGAATCTCGAGGATTCTGGTAGCTAGTGAATCATTTCCCACAGGTGAGCATACAGAAATTTCCAGGAATGCAGTTGAAGGTTTTAGTTTCTTCATTTAACTTAGAGATGCTTTCTGAAGAGGATATTACAATATACATCATACAAATACTACACTTCACCAAGGAGCAATGTACTCAGCTCAACGCCCTGATGGCCCCTAAGGCGCAGAGGTACTTTTCACAATCTGCAGATAAAACATTCAAGAGCTCATTACCAAAAAGAGCATTGAGGTGGCAGCAGGTAGAAAGCTACCTTGCCCAGAACAGCAAAATTTCCAGAAACAGACAACTCTACAGTTTTGTTAATTACCTTCACCATACAAGGGAACTAATGAGTCCAGGATCATTCCCCAAACCCACAGGATAAAGGGCATCTAGATGACTCCTGGTCTCCAGTGCATACTGATACATTGCCTTCATGTCTAAGTGGGAGAAGTCTTACTAGAAAAAAGCATGGTCAGAAATTACGAGTCATTCAAAACATCTCTTGATTTGGTGAGCATCTACAGTCATTTCTTCAAAAACCGTACAGCCACGTTGATGGTAACAGCTGGCACACAGAAGGCAAGGACACGCAACCTTGTATAAACCTGTCCATGTAAATCACAATGCATTCCCAACCTTAGGGCCTGTTCTGATCATTAATGTAAGGGACTTTTCCATAGCGTGAGTGAATCAAATTAATATGAAGTGGGAAATGTGGAGATGACAAAGGGAATGTTTATAAAAACCAAACTAAAACACATCAGAGGTAATTAAGAACAAAGATCCCCAGACTGCCAGCTTTGCGCTTAACACAGCCTGATTAAGAACACACTGCAAAAGACAGAACTTACAAGCGATTTGAAGGAAAAGGACAGCCCTGTTAAATAGCCAGCAAGGAGTGAAGGAGTTCCTTCTCAAGAAAGCGCCAGGCCCTTGAAGAGCTTTCACAGGCTGAGTGAAAACCGCTTCTGCTAAGGAATGTCGCTCCAAGTGCCTTCAAAGATCTGTCCTTGCACAGGGAAATGAGCAGTGAGTGTGCTCCTCAATCTCTCCCTGGCTCTGGGCCAAGACAAAAAAGCAACCTGACCTTTCCTTTCTCCCAGATGCTCCCAACTCACACCTATACCAAGAGATCGAAAAGGAAATCAAGCTTCAACACTGGCTTAGCAATGTTCCCCATGACCTCACAACTGTCTGTGTAACTAGCAGAAGAACATGCAATCTGACACAGGTTTCTCTGAAGAACAATTTGATGAAACATCACTTCACGGGGACATCTCAAAGACTAATGCGATCATGTCTAGAGAGCTGAAGGCATTCCGAGGGCTGATCTATGGTGCTCTTGCCACCTGCTGATATCTGTAGACCAAGATGATATAGCGAAAGAGAATCAACTTCTTATAGCACGTAAGGTATGTGTTATATACAAGAACTGACATTATCCCAAAAGGGACCGTGGCCCAGGCTATCTATGTTATTCAATACACACAACATGGAAGTGGGTCTTTCTAGACAGCCTTTAATTTAGCAACTAAATGCACAGATGCCTGGATAAAACAATTTCTATGAGCTTCCATTTCTTTACCTGTAAAAATAGCAATACATGCATACATCTTGGGATGGAGGTGAAAATTAAGTAAAATTAAATAAAAGTGAAAATATTCAGGGCTTACCACGAAGAGACAATTCAACAAATGACAGCCCTGACCCTGTTACACTCAAATGAGCATTATATAAAATGTCTTAAGAAGTCTGTCTAGTTCACAGTACAAATTGGAATGGCATGAAAATCATACAGAGGTGTTCACCAAATCGCAAATGAGCCACATCTTCTATAGTTGGCATCCCAAGGAAACAAGGCTATTAACAGTAGCTGGGTCGCCAACCAGTTCTTAAAGCACATTAACCCAGAATAGAGGGAAGATCATTTACATATAATATCAACCATTTCCAGATTGACTTTAGAGTCCGGAATGAAGAGACAATCTCATGCTACTTCTTCCATATCTGGCTAACCCTAGGCAAATCAGGTAGGGCCTATTTCTAGCTCCCTTAATATATTCTTATCTGGGTCCACACAGCCTTCATCCCAATGCTCCCATTTTCCCCTGAAGTTAATTAATTTAGAAGAAATTTATTGAGCACCTACTGTGCATCATAAACTGTATATACGGAACCCTGGGGTGGTGAGCAAAACAGATGTGGGCCCCAGTTGGCCTAATAAAATGAATCTGAAGAGAGATATTAACACAAAATACATTAAGATGTGAAAAATTATGTACAAATTATCAGAAGGGAGCTTGTTTGGGGACAACTTGCCCCAGGAAGTCACGTTTAAATTGAATATGAAGGATAACTGTAAGACAAATAAGGGGAAAGAAGGACAAAGAGAGTATCCCAAAGAGAAGAAACTGCAAGTGCAAAAGCCCTGAGGTGACAGCATAATGCATTTCAGAAACCTAAAGAAAGCCAGAAAGGTGGCCAGGAAGTGGATGGGAGAAGGGGTAAGGGCTTCTTTCTGGGAAGTAGGCTGGAACCAGATTATGCTGGACCTTGTAGGCCACAGGAAGCAATGGGAAGCCAAAAGTGTGTCACTGGTGAAGCTCCCTTTAGCTGCAGGTGCAGAACAGACTGGAGCAGGAAAAAATGGCTGTAGGCTCCAGGAGTCTCGGTGAGGGGCATCTGACACAAGGCTGCAGCAGCACAATGGAAGGAACAGGAAACACACACATCTACACAGCAGGAGTTGGTGAGGGGTTGGGGTAGGGGGGTAAAGGAAGTGCGGGGTGTCAAAGATATCTGTGACAGCAACGGAAAGGCGTGATTTCCAGGACACTGGACGAGTCCAGAGTTTCTGACAGAATACCACGAGTTCGGACTTAATGAATCTTGGTGCAAAGAAGATCATTTCCACCTACCCCAAAGAGCTCCATGCCTTCAAAGTACAAACTTCAGGAAAGAAAGGTTTCCAAAAGAGAAGAACCATCTAATGCAATATGAATTTGAAATAACTGCCAGTATTATTTATAGCCCAATAACTTCCCAACTGTCTGCATTTATCAAGAAAAACGCTCAATTTTAAGTGCCTAAAAAAGAGTCAGCCTAGTTCACAGAACACGTTTTGATGGCATGAAAGCCAAAGTTGGCTGTTAGTTTACAAATGAGTTTCATCTCCAAATCTGCTTATTCAACAAATACTGGCAAAAACATTGAGGGAGCAAAGACATATTTTTGGGCCGAGGATTGTGGAGATAGGAGAAGCGTGGACGGAGCATATAGTGCCAGGCCTGAGGCTTCTCTGCACTCTTGCTTCTTGCAATCCCATCTCTTCCACTCGTCCATTTTTGACCCCTCAATTGTCCAAGCAAGTTCCAAGTCCGACACAATAGTTCCCATGGTGATGGAAATTGTACAATTAAGGGACAGGAGTTACAGTGATTCATAGGTCGTTTGTAAATGCTGTATTACATGGATTTAAAATACTCTTGAGATTCTACTTTAGAGATTCTATGAGACAGCTGGAGAAAATTCCCAGCGAAGATCCCAGTTATTATCACCTTCTTCCACTGAGAACAAAATGATTTAGGCACACAAACTCTTCCTGTCGATGGGCTGGCCTTCTCTGAGCATTAAGAAAAATATATATATACACAGGAAGACATTGCTCCCGCTACTAGAAGAGGACTGTCGCCCTGGTTATTTTAGGACATCAATCTCACCACCTTATACACACCTAGGATGTCATGCCACAAAACTAAAAGACGTATGAAAGTTACCATGGATTCCATTTCTCCACTACGTTAGGGCCATGAAGAACCCCAGAAGAGATTAGCGAGACAGTTCTTCACCAGACATTCTCCTTAGTCAAGATTTTAGTGAAAGCACAGATGGCAGATGGTAAACAGAGGACGGGGAGGGAATTCTACCAGGCAGTATGGCAATTCAGACAGCTTCTGAAACACCTCCAACATACACACGTATTCTTGCACATCTCCCTCAGAGAACACACACACACAAACATACATTTTACACACACTTTACACATACTCAGACTGCACAAGGAGACACTAGTTTTGTGGAAGCTGGAAACTTGATGCCACATCTAACCAAATACCACTCAAATCTGTGCAATGGGATGATGTCAGTCAAATAGTTGCACATTGATTCACATCTCTTGACCTCAGAGCCAGTTTAAAAAAAAAGTAACTGTTAGATTCCATAAAAAAAAAAAAAAAAGCAGCACTATTAAACAAGACAACACAACTTACCTGACTGGCATCTGGAAAAACATGAAAGGTTAATATCATCCTAGATTCTTATAAAAATCCCATGAGAAAGGGAAGGCAAATACTATTCCTAGTTCACAAGGCTCAGAGAGGTGCATGGTTACTTTAATTAAGGCACTTAGCCAGAATTGAATCTTGGGAGTGAATCAAAGTGAATTTCCATAACCGAAATGGAGACCATTGAATCTAACAAAGCATCTTACTAGTTTACCTTCAATCTTATTTCTCTACATTCTAGAAACTCCTCAAAACTGTCATATTATGGACTCTCTGGGATGGTCAAATAATAGTCTGGGCAGAGAAGATGATTTACCTCCATTATCTTGCTTAAGCTGTGACAGGCTGCCCTAATCAGCTTTCGTGCACAGAGGCACACAGGCACACATGCTCCCTCTCCGTGCCTCTTAATCACCATGTGCCATGCTGAACAGCTGCAGAGGTCTGAAGGGAATTGGCAGAAATGTGCAATGATGTGCTAGCCACCCCCCTGAGGCAGCAACTGCCCTGCCTGCTCCCAGACTCGAGAGAAAACATGGGTGTTCGCTGTCACAACCGACGGGCCCAGAAGACAGGCAAGTGGTTTCAGGTGGTGAGTCAGGAAAAGCAGTTTGCATCAGGAATGTTCCAGCCCAGCAGAGCTGAGCAGCATCCTACTCCCTGTGCAGGGATACAGTATTCATCATTTATACAATGTCACCGTGGGGGACAAACTTGGGCTCAGCACAAATTGAATCCAATCAACTCTTATGCAGAAGAACCAGTAAACAAGGCTTCTCCCACCAAGAAGGAACCTAATTGCTTAAGAATTGCCACCATATCTGACACATGAGATCAGTCCTTCTATCCTGAGAGAGATGGTCTTTACAGAGGGCTGGCACATACCGTTTGAGAGCAGAACCCTTGGCTAACCTTCTGGGACCACTCAGCATCGGCTGCAATAAGCTGTGATCTACGCTCCCAGGGATGAAACAGAATCAGGTGAGGGCAACATTCAAAGAAGCCAGGTGGGTTCCATACCACATGGCGTGCAGACAGCTGCGTAGGAATCAAGTAAGTGCTGCCCCCCACCTCAGGTTAATTTTGGATGGATTTCCATAGAAATCCACACTCTTGAGGAATTCCTTGTTTGCTTCTATGCTATTGTTTATGAGCCAGCAAATGAGCGATAGGATATAAAATTGGTGAAATAGAGATGTCAACATTAGATCAGATAACAGGAGATCTAGAAATTGAAAGAGGCTTAAAGGCATCATTCGCACTACACTTCATGAATGAACACAGCGTTCTGTCAAGTTTTATACAATGACAAATGAGTCTATTCTCTGAAGGAACCTGAGGAGATTTAACTCTCATTTTAGGGACTCCAGTTTAGTTTCTCTACTTCAAAATTAGCAAATTCATCCCATGCCAACTTTAAAAATCTCTTTGCTATAATTTATATTTCTAGTGACTATGGTATATAATAAAACTGTTATGTTTATGATAGACTACTCTGGCGTTAGTTCAAAAGCCAGAGCCTTATGAAACCTGTCACATCATTAAAAATCTGCATTTAGGTAAAGAATGCTAATGTGGCATTAATGTGTGTTAAGGGCAGATATACAGCAGAACGGCCTTATCTTTCTCAAGACATGAGAAAAATCAGACCCAAAACATGGTATCTTCCCAGAAGAACCCTCACTGAAGCAAAGTACGGAAAAGACAAATCACAGTCCCTCCCTGAACAGATTTCCTTCAACCACCATCAAAGGAACTACGCCACTCATTTCCTTTGTTCATCGAGGACACAGACACCTGCCCAGAATATTTAGGGTGGGGAGGTCAGGGAAAATAGGGAATGCTCAGAGGCTCACTCTCAGCCTCCCAAAAAGGCAAGTTCTGCAGCTGGCCACAGAATATATGCTCTAAGAACACAAGGAAATGCACTCTTAGGGCCTCTGGGCTGTTGCACCAGACCAGAAAGTCACTTTGCTGCACCACGAGCTCCCCAGGAACTACTAGGAAACCACACAATCCTCCCCCGGTAAGGCTGCCCTAGCACCTGCAGTAGAAGCTACAGGAAGGATGACAAGCTGAACAAGTGGAGGTGGCTTATGCACCACAGTGCATTTCAGTAAGCATGCTCCCGTTCCAGGAGAGCCCCTCTTCTCAACAGCCAGGAATAGTCCTCAGGAGTAAGGGAGGCAGAAAAAACCGGCAACCTTCCTTCAATAGCATATCCCACAGCACCGACTTTTAATGGAGGTGGCTGAAGAGATACAAGGGAGCCAAGTAAATGAAGCTCGGGGCAATATGCAATTATTGAAACTGGAATTGAGCCTGGACCCTGGAAAGAACATGCTGTGAGAGCTTTGGCAATCACACTGTGGTCAGGGCCCCAATTTTAAATCTCTCCCACGGGATACCACATCCTGAGACACAGGCACGCCCCTCTTCGTATCAAAGTAATTCCGCTTGACTTGGCAGAGGGGCGTCATCTGTTGGTCTCTGGGATTCCATCACAAGGGCCCAGCTTAAAATGATCCCCAACCATTTGCAAATACGTTTCTGTCTCATTTACCTTTTTCCCAATAAGCTTCTTTCGAAGAAATTCCCGGGCTTCAAACATGTAGGGAATGTCATATAGGGGACGTAGTTTCTTGTTCTTATCCTAAAAGAAAAACAAAGTATCACATCAGAAATGAGAAACAAACATCAAAAAACCCACAAATGAACACAGCCAATAAAACAAAAATACTAGAATACACCTGAAATATGCTACCTCCCAGTATCACAAATATTAACTAAGTGCCAATACACATAACAGATATTTGGATGAAATGCTTTACAGGGAATGAGATCATCTTTTTCACATGACAGACTCAAAAATAAGTAATGAAATGTTTGTAATTATCCAAACTGGAAACAAGCAAATGTTCATCAATGAGGAAAAGACCTATATTAACTGTTGTATAGAAGAAGCTAAGTATTAGGGCCCTTTAAATATTTATAGATACACTATGAATCTAGTTCTATTATTCTGTAAGCCATTATTAAGGACCTACCAACTCTTAGCCCCACACAAAGCTCTGTGTAAATATATGTTATAATCCTGGATTCAAAATTCTTACAAACTAACAGAGTAATACAAGAAAAGCTGTGACATGGCAACAGATATGAAATGGCAACACAAAGCAGTTTTGAGTAAGTGCTAAATTGTGTGATATAGACTAGGGACTAAGTGCTATCAGAGTTCAGGGAAGTGGAAAGAAAGAAGTAATCAGGAAATGTTTCACTGACAGGGTGACATGGTTTCATTGACTTAATATGAGTTTACAGGATAAGAAAAAACTAGAAAGAAAATTAGAATTGAAAAAACAGAACAAGCTAAAGGAGGCAGGAATAAATAGTATTTCAACACAACATGTACACACATAAAAATCAACATACACAATTCTTGCGTTATCTCATAGGTCCCAGACTTCTCCCCAAAGAGGTTACTGTTCTAAGCAATATAACTATGAGAATATGGGAGAAGGTTCTAGAGGAACTTGACAAAGAGGGAATGGATAGGAACTAAAGTGATCTGAGAAGCATTAAGAGAGGCGCCTGGGTGGCTCAGTCGGTTAAGCGTCTGCCTTTGGCTCAGGTCATGATCCCAAGGTCCTGGGATCGAGCCCTGCATCGGGCTCCCTGCTCAGCTGGAGGTCTGTTTCTCCCTCTCCCTCTGCCCCTCTCCCTCTCTCTCTCTCTAATAAATAAAATCTTGGAAGGAACAGAATGGATAGAGGGGATAAAAGAAGAAGAATCCAATATTCTAACTCATGATGACATGCGTATGAAGTTAAGAGAAGTCTGTCTTTTAAGGGGGGTGTCGAGGGCGGGAGGATGTTACAAGAAATAGGGAGATGTTGGCTAGATTGCTAGGTCTGATTAATGTCAGACCTAAGTAATGTCTCTCCCCTGCTGAGCCCTTAAGTTCCACAAGAACAGAGATCCTGTCCATTTCTGTTATTCTGTGACCCTGGAAACAAGTAGAGTGCCTCCCACTCATAGTACATGCTAAATAATAGTTGGATGAACTAACTACAAAAGAAATATGCAAAATGACATATACACAGAAATCAAGTATGCTAGAAGAATAGGACTACATGTATAGATTTCAGAATGCCTAGGACCCAGATCATATGAGGGAAAATTTCACAAATAAAGAAGAAAATCAAGGACTAACTAATCCAGGTGTGCTTACCCATCCTGTGGCTCACCTGGCCTCACCTCATTATAATCCACTCTATACTGAAAGAGGTATTCAAGTTATTTTCTCAAATAGCCAACTACTCCTAAATAAAGAACCTTTATCATTTAAATACCCCATGTTTAAACTAATCCTAATGACAGTACTGAGGTCAAGGGAACTGAAATAGGTGTTTCCTCCTATACCCTAACCAAGCCTTGGTGCCCAGAACACATCATTAAACAATTCATTGACATCACCAAGAAAAACCTCTAGGAGAATGCGGAGAATTGAGTTTGAGCTCCACAGTCATGCCTTCTAGTTCCTCTGGTTAAAACAACAGTAACAACAAGGTGGCAGCAGCATTCCAGCACTCAGTGCTCTCTTCTTGGAGGTTAAAGAGGCAAGTTCAAAATGGAAGGCGAGCTCCTTTTCCTTCTTGGATGTGTGGGACTCCACAAGCTCTCAATGGGAACAACATGGATTGCCACACTTGAATCAAATTCCTGGGGTGTCACGATCACTGTCTAGTAAGTGAGGGATGGCCCTAAACATGTAGTTTTTTTGCAGGAAAAAAAAAAAAAGAAGAGGAAAACAGGATACGTGAGGGTTGCTGGGGTAGAGGGAGTTCTGCATAACCCAAGGGCACAATATACAGGATTATGGATATTTTATAAACATTCAGACAGCCAAATCAAAATAGTGAGTCACTCCTGAGGAACTAAGTATAATATATAAGCCGTAAAATAGAGTTTATGATGACAGTCAATGATACAGTAAGAATGCTTGCTAGACAGAAAATTCTAGGTGCCAATAATGAACAGGATTTTTAATAAAGACAAAATCAACGGTTATCAGAATCAGCCCTCAGGAATAAAGAAGTGCCAATGTTTATATTCACAATGCAATGGAGGACAATCTATTTACAGAGAGTAGCTGTGTAATTACACAAGCCTAAGTGAACAACATTATAAAGAGTGAAGTGAACAAAATATTGACATTTACCTTGCATAGCCTCATGATTTATCACAGGACCTGAATGTGTGAACCTTACCCTACTTATTCTGAGACACCACAGAGATCACAAGGCAGTATGACTTGACTGGACTCTGAAACAATGAGTGAAAGCTAAGAAATAATAGTTTTAACAAATATTCAAATGAAGATCACGAGATGAGTTACACCTAAGTGAGTGAAAATGACTGAAAAAGAAAGACACTCAACAGAATTGGTCCAAGCCAAAATGCCCTCAGAAGAATGAAAGAAAATAATCCCAATAAAAAACCGGGCAGCAGAGTCTGATTATATGTCTCTCATGAAGCTAGGAAAGAACTAATAGCACAAGCAGAAAACAAGGTATCACAAGTGAAAACAGAATGATCTTGTTACTCTAACCCTTTAGAGCTACTAGCTATTGACATCGGCAAACATCTTACAAGAGAGATATTATAAGTCCTGAGGAAACCACAAAATAAAAGCAATTCCTCCAAATTACCAGGTACATAAAAGCCTTTGAAATCTCTAAGAGGCAACTGAGGTATGGAATGTATTCTGAGAAAACAGGATTTTAGCGGAATCTTACCTGCGAAAAAGGACTATCTAGTTTAGATTCTAATTTACATAGAAATATTTTTAAAAAAATAAAAATAGAAGAGAATGCTTGCTTTATCTGGTGGGCAGATAATACAAAAACCAATACATGCTGTAATCACTGTTCATCCTGAGAAATGACGTTGTATGTAGGCCCTGCAATGACTCACACATTAGAGAGAGAACTTCAATTATCTGTACCTCTCAGTGGTTTGGAGAGGGAGGCCCAACACCCACATCTCAGCATCTAAAGACCCACTTGGCATCTTTACAGGAAGTTATATTTGGCTGGTTGCCAAAATGCGGTTGCTGTTCAATGCTCACTTGGAGGGAATGTCAAGGCCTTATAGTCACCCCTAGTTTTGAGTCTCAACCTCAGGCCAAATTTTATCTAGCTCCTCCTGTAGCAAAAAAAGATATAGTAAAAAAAGAAATCTAATGCCCTAGAGATACTGCAGGATTTCTTAAACAAGGCTTGAAACAAACCACGGGGGCAAAAAAAAAAAAAAAAAAGAGCCTAATAAATGTGGTTCTACTAAAATTAAAGCCGTTCTTTACTGAAAAGACTTCATGAACAAAGCTGACAGGCC